TGGCATTCATTAAACAAGTCAGGTGGATAAACGTGGTAGAGCCACGCTGCAGCTATATTATGATAGATCTCGCTGGTATTCTACTACCAGCGTAAAATAGCAGCTCAATGCTGCTGTGTTTCGTATGGTGAGTGTAGAGAATCGTAGATCTTTTTTATTGGAAACACATCAACATTAGGGGTCGCAATCTGCATTTTGATACTTTATCAAGGATAGATGAAGATGTGTATGGGCCCCGGCATCCACTTACCACCAGGTGGACTGTGTGCTCGTTTGTTGCCGTTATTATTTATAAAAAAACGCATTAAAAATACAAAAACGACGTGTATAGTAGACATAGCGAGCTTGTTATATCTTTTCGTAATTACAAGAACTTACAAGAGTTTTCGTTACACCTGACTGATCTCTGCATCAAAAGCATCCCTGTGTGTTGTTTGTCAAACAACTGTGCACCTATACAATATTCTGTCTTCATTTACTAAAAGCTTTTTTCAATGTTTTCAATGTATGTTAAAATATGTTAGGTGTTAAACTACCATAATTTGTAGTGGCAAACAATATTTAGTCCACATGATAGTACGTTAAATTTATGTGCTCCTACATTCAAAATAGAACAAACAAGAAAGGCTACTGGCACGTTGTCATCTCTAAGGATGTTTATAAAATTGGAATGACAAATGAGCTAAAAGTCCATGTAGTCCAAGTAATGGTAAGTGAATGATGTGCCCCATACAAGTCTACTTTTATCTTCGATTAAGAATCAAAATGCAGATGCGTTGTCACTCCTTAAGGCTAAGGTGAAATAACTCGTATCCCAAAAATAGAGTTTTTTATTATCTGTGCTCTACGAAATACTGCAGTTTTAAGCTGCTAGGACGCTGGTATTCCGTGAATGTTTGGTCATCGCCCGAGCGAGCAGACATTTCTGCTACAACCATGATATATACATAAGCATGGATTAACCACGTATAAGGAGTACATATAAAACCTCCTCAGCAAATGCATTATTATGCTGTACATGTGTATATATATATATTATATTGTTCATCTTCATAACAGCCCATCAAAACCTTACAGCTGCACACAGACCCAAGAAATGTCACAAAGCACGGTCCTAAACTACGTGGATCCATCGAGACCTTTCTTCTACTTTATCAAAAGGTAATTGTTAACCGTGCATGACAATGATCTATAACATTTTACTTAGGATTTACTTTAATTGTCTCTTGTCTAGTAGACTGACGATCACGGAATCAGCACTCGCACGCACCTCTGGCGCTGCTCTCGATTACAGGCCCTTTATATCTGGCTCTTTACACTACCATCTATTTAGGTCATGGGTTTTTACTTCGCTTTTCCATCGTCGCCTTTTACGAAACTCAATTTTAAGGATATAATTGGGTAAAATAAATGTTAGACACACAGTCGACCTGATGGTAAGTGGTTGCTGTGACCTATAGACATCTACATTTATTCTTAATAAGGAATCAAAATGCAGATGCGTTGTCACTCGTGAGGACTAAGATGGAATGCCTCTTTTCCAGTAAAAAGGGTCTCCGGTGATTATTTATTTGTACTGTTTTATACTTAAGTCTTAAAATAAAATTAAGAAAAATTACAATTAAAATCAACAACTCAAGCACTTTTTGAATATTTAAGTTATTATTTATTTACCAATAATAATTTGCTTTTTTTATTATTGGTGTAATGTTTTTGCAGCGTACGTGAACATTAGCGGTTCGTTTGGATCCAAGGCACAAAATACCACGAAGAGGTACTAGAGCCTGTTATTGTCCTGCACAGAATCCAAATGGGCCAGAAATTTCTACTCATGCACGATATTGCTCCTTCGCATACGGCGCGACTGGTGTCGGCCGCTCTCTGAGACCACGATATTCAAGTTTTGGATTGGCCTGCACAGTTGCCCGACTTAAATCCAATGGAGCATGCCTAAGACATGTTACACCGAAAAGCTTTGAGAGATTTTCCGCCAAATTTGACGAACGAAAAACAACTTTACGAACACTTGCAAAGAACATGGAACCTCATACCGCAGCAAGACATTAATAATTTAATTTTAAGTATGATAAATTGATGTCAATGTGTTATTAATTTAAGAAATAACCGCACTGATCGTTAATTATTTGATTTTATAAGATTTTTTTTCATATTTAATTAAAATGAATAGTTTTATAAAAAGAAATGAAGTTTCTTTATCATACTATTTTTCCACGACGATTAAAAAGGTAACATTTTTATTTAAAACAAAGAAATAACGAATAGTTTTTTTTTTATTAAAGACCTTAAAATACACATCATTCTTCCATTTATTATATCAAAAAATTCTTCATAGATTTTTAGATATTTGATGAAATACAAAATATCCCTCGATTCTGTTGATGTGTATATGTTGAATGGTTCAGCGGTGTTCGCTCACATGAAAAGTGTAACCGATATTGCCAACTCTTATGAACTAGTCCACTACACATCAGACCATTTTATTAAGATATATAATTTATATTCACCGTCGTCGTTTTTAACCCCCTTTTTATCATGGGGAAATCCTTATGCTGGACTCCTATTGGCCGAACCGTATGGTGGTCATCATCAGCGTATACGAGGAGTCCCGCGATCTCCGTTCCGAACGCAACCGTTGCCCGTTCCCCTCTTCGCTATATAAAAGCACGTCACGGGGGCAGTCTATACCATCCCCGGCACTGTCGCAGTGCTATCAAGATATGTTGGGACCACTTCTGAGTCATCGTTCTTGGGTGGGGGGTTACATCTCTAGGTGTTCGAGGTCCCGTCCGCAGCCCCCGCAACCGCTAACGCAAACATATGGAGTTTATAAGTTTAGCATACGTATCTGTGTATTTGTGTATGTCTGTGGAATTGTAGCGTCCAAACGGATGAACCTATTTTTATTTAGTTTTTTTTTTGTTTGAAAGGTGATTTCATCAAAAGTTCATAGCTATGATTTAAGAAAATCTATTCAACCATTGAGTTATATGTACTACGTACTAGAGAAGCCATTCTGAACAAAAATGTGCACTACTGTATATCGCGCATACGCAGTTGCGCCACCACAGACTAACTAGTAGATTAAAACCTCACTAAATGACACACTGTACGGATTACAGTACGAAATCTAGTACGTAGTACATATATATCGATGTATTCAACCGTTTGAAGATCATCATCTCTTTTCCAGTCAATGAGGGGATTACAGCAACTTTCAGAGGCCTGATCAATTTTAAAATTTGGTTTCATGCTATCTTAATGATATTGCAATAACCTTGACCTGACGCTGAGTCATCGCCTGGAATCTGCAGAATACTCAACTCCTCACCAACTTACAACAGATGTTTAAAAAAGAGACAAAATAAAACTAACAATTCTATTTATTTTAATTTTAGATGACCTTATATATTTAAGCTGTTAGGTTAAAAGCGCAGTGTAATACTTGCACACATAGGAACTGAAACTTAATAAATACTGTTTGCAAGGGTAAGGTTTAGAATCAAGTCACCTTAATTTGGGGGTGGGGTGGTGGGGGAGGGGGAGGGGGAGGGGAGTTGTAAAGTCAACCCCCACTTCCATTTCCTGCCGGACGTGCTTAGTTTTCTTTTTATAAATTTTTAAGAATCTCATTTTGAGGTTATGTTTTCGTATTGTTTTTGACAATATAAACCTGATTTGTGGGGGCAGAGAGTTGGAGGAGGGTAGCCCAACGGCACTCAACGTGGCGCAGTCGAGGGAAGCTGGCTTGACGAAGCCCCGCTTAGCGGGGCTCCTATTTCTGGATGGTTTATAAAAAAACCGGCCAAGTGCGAGTCACACTCGCGCACCGAGGGTTCCGAACAAATCCGTAGGTATATAAGTTTAAAATTATTAAAAATATTTTTATTATATGATGTAACTAGAAATTTATGCTTTTCGCAATTTTTCCTTTATCTGTGCTATAATACGTTGCTTCTTATTAATTTTAAGATTCGGAGTTCACGGGAAGTACCATGTAGGTTTTGATTCCCTTTCGAATATCGAAAATTTGCGGCATAAACGGCTGTATCTTTTGATTGCGTTGGCTTAGAAGTTTGAAATCGTTTGGGCAGTAGATTTGATTATTTGATATGAATTTCAGCTCTATACCTCCACGCATTCCTGAGAAAAAGGGTCTTGATAGACAGACAGACGGACAACAAAGTGATATTATAAGGGTTCCATTTTTTCCTTTTGAGGTACGGAACCCTAAAAAATAACCACAAAGGGGATCCCTTATCTAACCTAACCTGTCCGAGTCGGGTTGCCCCAAGCCCCGAGCTCGCTTCGCTCGCTCTTGCACCAAATAAAACACCAAAATGTTAACTTTTATAATAACTTTAATAAGTAAACATATTTTATAACGTCCACCATTTCCAAAAACGTCGTAAAATAGTAAGCATTCTGTCTCCAGAGGGGTAGCGAAGTTATCCAAAAACAGGAGACAGATAATAACAATAAGGATCACATTCACCTAAACTCGGAAGCAACGGAATTACCCTTATGACGCGAGTCTCGAAATCGAGTATAAACGTAGTGATTATATGCTCTTTGGTCGAGTATATCTGTTACTGATTACTGTCAGTGTCAGAAGTTCCGTTTCAGGTATTAATTAGTGATTTATGAATATTTTTAGAAAATTATATTAAATATTTCGACGCAGCTCCGGCAGCTAAAATTGCATGGGGGAGCTGGAGATAAGCCCCCTTGCCCCCCCACAGTGACAAACTCCTCAAATTGGCGACTTGACTGTATACCCAACCCGTTTGCAATAATAATATTATTTATGTTTTCAAAGAGTATATATAAGTAGTTATTACTATTGTTCTGAGGTTATTATATACTCTTTGACTTTTTGTGTCAAGTGTGAAAGATCAATGAAAAATTTCAAAATACGCCATCCATGATATATTACTCTTAATTAATAATATTTATGTAAACCACAATATTTTCATCTTGAAATGGAGGAATCACAAAATAAACCAGTTGAAAAATATGACGTCTTATCCCAAAACATTGATAATAACGTTAATAAGAAATGTAATGAACACACTTTGAACTTTTCTAACGAAGGCGATCAAAATTTAGAAGTCGTTGTTAGTGAAATACCAACTTCAGGAGGAAAACCAGAACAGTTAAAGCCTACTGGACGAAAAGAATATACGTTGGTATATAATATAGCACCAGGAATTCTCCAAAAGTTTCCGGGGCTTAGTGAGTAACTATCATTATACACATATATTGTTATGTCAATTTTATATAACATAATTTAAACGTGTAGCCAGTGATTAGATATGAATCTGAGGCGAGGTCCTTTACTGCTGGCCGTGTAAGAAAGCTTAAGTTCGCTTAGTTAACTATGAAGATGGTCAGGCTCGGAGTTTCTCTGCGTACTAGTATTTTAATGAGGGTATCTGAAATAGAACCAGACTGACATACCTCTGTGGATTAAAAAACTGAAGTGGCAAGGAGCCGGCTACGTAGCTCGATGAACCGACAGCCGATAGTGAAGAAAAATGATCGAGTTGCAGGTTCGTACCGATAAGCCAAACGGTGTATAGTATCTCCACACTGGATGGTGTGACGACCTGACAAGACATACAGGAAGTATGACGCATGCAGGTGGCTCAGGATTGTGTTTTGTGGTGTTCCTTGTGAGAGGCTTATGTTTAGCAGTTGACTTGTGAGGGGTTGTTATGATGAATTATGACGTACGTTATTTTTATAGTTATATGCATACTCGTATATTTCTACGATTGCCATTGCCTAGACTTAAAAATTAATACATACTACTCATATTACTGAGTGTTGGGTAGAACTTGTGTGAGAATCTCAGTTGTCTATATTGCATTTTATGGAAATGCAATACATTCAACTGAATATTCAAATAGCTATTTTTCAAATGGTTATCCACATATAACGATAAATGAAGAGGAAGGAGGTTGAAATATAACATTAAAGCATAAACTTAGAATATACTGGCGTACATATTCTATGTCTATGCATTAAAGTATATTTCCTTTTCATTGTTTTCTCCCTTAACTCTAATACAATTTTCTTATCATATTATAAGAAATAATATATTTTTTAACTTATATAAAATTCTCTCTATAATAAATTTCTATAAAATTTTATAAAATTCTATCTTATATATAAAGTTTAATACCGTCAAAAAATTATTATCTTGGCGTCAAATCAAGTCGAAAATTCTGACTTGACCTCAATACGGTCGTTACTTTTTTCCCGCACAGCTCTCTTCCTTCATATTTGGAAATTAAACAGCTGTTAAAAACTTTACCGGTGAACGGCAGCCGTCGCAATTCTTATGTGTATTCTTACCTTGCGCAAACGTCGATGCAACAGTTTTTTTTTAAGCTAAAGAGAAAAACAAAATCACAGCTCACATGACGTTAAGTGGCTACTGTTGGATATAAACTATTACTGTTACAGCCTATTAAAATTCACTGCTGAACATAGGCATCCCCCAGAGATTGCACGATAGGGGAGATATTTACCATAGTTTCCGCACTTGGCTAGCGGGTTGGTTACCACAGTGTTTTTGTTTTACTCGTTATTAGGAATTAAACCCCCCCCCCCCCTTCACGGAATAAATACATATTAATAATTTAATATTTTGAATACCTTTGCTTGGAATAAGAATATCACTAGCTTAAGGTAATGACTAGATATACAAAACTGCACACAGAAACCAGCGTAAAATAGCAGCTTAACGCTGCTGTGTTTCGTATGGTGAGTGTAGAGAACCGGAGACCCTTTTTACTGGCAAAGAGGCATTCCATCTTATTCCTCATGGGTGACAACGCATCTGCATCTTGAGTCTTTATTGAGGATAGATGTAGATATCTATGCGTCACAGTAACCACTTACCATCAGGTGGACTGTGTGCTCGTTTGTCACCCGATCCTATAAAAAAAAACTGCATTCCCTATTTTTAACTTTTAGCGGTGGACTGCTATATACCTGTTTAATAAAACTATAAATAATGAAATCCTTTTTTGAAATCGGCTAAAAGCCAACTTACGTAGTTCTAAAGTTGTCAAAGTTTTCTAACCTTCCAAACAAAAAAAAATTTGTAAAAGTCTTTTTTTAATAGGAACGATGGGTATTTAGTAATCAAGCAAAATACAAATAGACTAATTATTTGGATTAAAGATGTTAAAAAAGAAATAATTAGGATCCGCGTATAAAAAAAAGTTAAATAATGTGTCTTACCTAAGTTAAAGAGCACCTTTCGCCATTTCTCAATTACATAACTTAGCAGTCAGCCACCGCAGCGTATATTTTACATGATGATCGTATTATCGACGGTGATGTTTCTTTCCTAGTATAGTGGTGTTAGGAGTATAGGGAAGGCGGGAAGTGCTTAAAATTAAATGTTGTGTCTTATGTAGTTTGCAACTGTGTAAAGTTAATTATTTTTTACCATCTTTAATAGAATGGATTTCGGCAAAGCAATACCTGATTCTATTAGTTATAATTATTTGGAATTGCGAATTCCAAATAATTTACTACAAGTGTAAAAAAAAAAATTAAAATATTACTTATATCCTTTTGGGAAAAGGATCTATATACAATGTATTTAAATAAATTTATTTTAACAATTAAGACTTTATTTTAATTAGAAAAAATTGCATTCATTTTTGGTAGGCCGGGTGGCCCGAAAATACAAATCGATTGGTTTATTGTTTGTTCAAAAGTCAGTAACTGATTCAAAATTCATGCTCCTAATTTAACATTTAATTTTATAGATCAAGGAGAAGAGCAAGACACGAGTGCACCCTTTATTTATGAGCCTGGTGGTCGCAATGCTTTTGTGAAGTTCGTCCTCAGCCTTGTTCTACTGATGCTTCTTGTGACTGCAGCATTTCTGGCAGTAGTCCTCTTGATGTAAGTTTTGCAATTTGTACAATATAAAGGTTTTATTTATAGCTTATTATTGATATTGTATCATTGTTCATAAGGGGATTCTTCTACGTGGTAGACCCATGCTGCAGCTATATTAGTAGTATAGTTGTAGCACGAATGAGTCGGCTCGACCGGGGAAGGACCACACTCTCACAGAATACCAGCGTAAAATAGCACCTTAACACTGCTGTGTTTCGTATTGTGAGTGTAGAGAATCGCAATGCCCATGAACTACAGTTGTAAGTGTAGTAAAAAAAAAATACCGTCATGATTTCTAAAAAATTAAGGGTCTGAATTTGACTGTTTCTTAATATTCTTACTCGCTACGTCTATTTGATTATTTTGACTCGAGAACAATACACGCAGATAAAAGATGGAGTAACAGTGATTTAGTCTTTGTATAATAATGTTCGTTATTTAAATACATATATTGATAGGGACTTTATCGTAATTTAGAGTTACTAATAAATAGTAAAGAAAAAAGAATGACAAATAAACGTGTTTGTGTGTACTTATGTACGCACGTAGGAAGTTATAATTCTTTAGTGTAACAATACAAAAATAATTTAAAAATTATATAATATGATCCTGGTGACAATTGGTTCACGACTCCGTGGAGCAGTGGTTCAGCAATGAGTTGCAGCGCTAATGGTCGCGGTTTCGATTCTCCCACAGAACAAGTATTTGTATAGCCTCCAAATATTTTTCTGGGTCTGGACTTATGAACTTGTGAAATCTATATATGTAAACTGCCGCCGCGATACAGGAGAATATCACAGTGTGGAGGTAACTTTTTTAAAAAAATATTAATTTGTTTTTATTAAGATTTTTAAACTTTATATTTACTCTTAATATTGTTCCAAAAAATAAACATACATCAATCACGTGTTTTGATGGGTAAATTTAACCTCTTTTATCTTTATAAAGATATAAATAAATATATTAACAATTTTATATCATTATGTTCAGAATGCGAAACTGCGACAAAATTTTCACATTTAAATTTGCTTTACAGAACTCTTCTTCTCGATCCACCTTTAATTTATTGCAAACAATTTTTTTTCTTATGTGCATGGAAATAAAATCACTTAATTCTAATATACTTTGAAGTGGCAGAGAATTTGTATTTTAGAAATATAATATATATGTTGAATTATTTTAGTTCCTACACTTTCATTAGAGCATGTGCTTTTTTTAACTTTTTTCTTGGTCTATTATTCTTCTCTTTGATTTAGATATTGTTTTAAACCTATCCCTCTTTCTTCGTGTCACTGTACACTGATTGTTGTAGTATAGGCAGATAAGCTAGGTACAGGTGTAATATTTCTGCACTGATGTGTAGATGATCTACGTGGAAGATGAAGATCAACCTGTAATTCAAACAAATTAAATAGACAAGGCAGACTTATTTCACATAACATATGTAAAACAAGGGCAATCTAACATATAATCTAGTTTAAAAATAATATATTAAAGAATAATACAACTTCTATATAACTATAATCAACTCAACTTTATGTTTCAAATATAGTGATACGCTTCTCGGCTTAAAAACTATAACTGATCACCATTATTTATTTTTAAAGTTACTTTATATTTATTAAAAGTCGCCAGTTCATCTCTAAGCAACTGTGAATATGTTTCCTTCAGTTGTTTTACTAAGTCGTTATATTGTATGTTGTAACAGTTGCCAATACATAGTTTTATATTAAACGAAGCTATAAAATCACAACCCACGAACAATAATATATCTAGTCATCAACAATAGCCCAAAGGATATATTTTTGAGCTGTTATAACCATAGAATACTCTAATAATTGGTGGTGCCCGCGTAGCCACTAACATATTATGTCAACAAATCTCTTTCGACGTCACAGTAGTTGGCTAATTTTTATGTCAAGCGTTGCTGGTTGCAATTTATTTCAAATATGTCCATTAGTGCTATCATTACTTTTCGGAAAACCAGGCGGATGTGAAATTTGAATAAAAGTGGTTTATCTTTACACCAATAAGTCGAAACTATTTATATTTTGTGAATATTAGAATCAATAATTTAAAATTTTGCACAACCGACTTCAATGTAAATTATTAATAATATCTCAAAAACTATTGGTCAGACCTCAATCAAATTTCTATGGGACTACATGAAAAGCACCAGCTTTCAAATAAAAAAGAATCATCGAAATCGTTTCACCTAGAAAAAAGTCATACACATAAAAAATAAAAAACATACAGTCAAATTGAGTACCGTCTCCTTTTTAAAGTCTGTAAAAAATTAAGAAATATTGGTCTGTAAAAACAACAGTAGGAACTAGTGATCTAATGAGTCATTTGTTTTTCATTATTACCCCCGCGTAATACCTGGAAATTAGTGCAATGATAGTTTAGTACATATATCGAAGAGAAATTTGTTTTTGCGCATTCGCTCTCTGAATTTCTTTAGTGACATTTTTTTATAGGATAGGGTGACAAACGGGCACACAATCCACCTGATGGTAAGAGGTTGCTGTGACTCATAGACATCTACATTTATCCTCAATAAACAATCAAAATGCAGATGCGTCGTCACCCGTGAGGGCTAAGATGGAATGCCTCTTTTCCAGTAAAATGGGTCTCCGGTTCTCTACACTCACCATACGAAACACAGCAGTGTTAAGCTGCAATTTTACGCTGGTATTCTGTGAGAGCGTGGTCCTTCCCCGGTCGAGCCGACCCATTCGTGCTACAACTATACTACTAATATAGCTGCAGCATGGCTCTACCACGTATAAAGCAACATAATGACTTCTTTGTTTTGTACCAAAACTACAGAGTTTATTCAAAATAATATGTTGCATGTTTTTTGAAAGTGAAGTTTTATTTTTCGATTGTTTGTGTTTCAGACCAGATGTAAAAGAATTTTTCAGTGTATATGGATGGGTATTAATGATACCAGCATTGTAAGTATTGCTATTTTTTATAAGCCAGTGTATGACTTTTATCCCACCTAGTGATGATGGAGCCGGAAATAGTAAAGGCATTCGCAAAAAAAAATACCTATTTCAGTTTTTCTTAAAAGAAGGTAGAAAAGGGATACAATAGCGTATTATTTCATATATTTTGCTATAAACATTACAAACGGAAGCAAACCGTAAGTTTCAAATTTAATTTACGTAATAATAAATTAACGATAAAGTTTTCGGCCCATGATGCGCTATTATATTCTTACCAATTTCAATGTATAAAGCTATAATTTCACAGGAGTCCATAACTTTCTCCTGATTACATTTGATCTATTATATTATTTTTAAGCTAGCTATTACCCAGACGCTGTTTATAGCAGTACTCTCACAAGCGGTCCAAATTATTCAAGAGCATTAGCAATATCGTTATCAGTTCAAAAGAAGAGACACACTATTAATGCAACTTTATTTCTTCTCAGAATTATCCTGTTAGGTGTAAACTATGCAATGGTATGCAGTATGTGTGCTAGACAACCTCCATGCAATTACGTGTGCCTGGTGATAACGGTAAGTTTTAGTTAAATATTTGACTAATAAACTAGGTTATAGTCTCACTTACTATAACCTCGTTTATTAGTCAATGTTAAAACAAAGTCATCTGTAAATAATCAATCCTTCCCCGAGTAACGCCACAAAGGAAGTTCCATAGCCACCTGCATCCATCGACTTCATGCATGTCTTACCAGGTCATCACTCCAGCTGTTGGGGAGCCGCCTACACTTCGCCTACTGATAGGCGGCTACTCGAGAACTTTTCGTCACCATCGGTTGTCGGTTCTTCGAACCTATATTCAGCAGTAGATGTAAAATAGCAGTTCCTCACCCTTTAATCTTAACACAGGAGTATAGGTGCAGTTTTGTTTGTTATGGTGCATCTTACCTGAGAAAGAGATGGGGGAGGAAGAGTCCTCTCCTGAGGAGAAGTCGCTATGGGGTGGCCAGCGCTGGTGGGGCCATAGATATGTGCGGAAGCGTTTCCGTGGCCCTGCCAATATGCAACGTAGGTGGAATACCATGGTTTTGGTCGGTGCTAGTTCGAGATAATCCGTCCGTGCCCGCACGAGGCGGGTATGTGTTGGCATTTTTCCATATAAAACAAAAAAGATGGTGCAGTTTGGCAGTTAATTAAGGATGGTACTAAAGCAGAGGAAACCAAGACTAAAAAGAATCATCCATATCAGTATTACGAGTATCATTCAGTATCTTGCACGATCAAATAAAGATAGTCAGAGTGATTACGCTACACATTGCTAGTGACGTTGAGACCATGCTCAATTTCTTGGCACACACGCACGCATCTTTGGCTTTCTTCTTTAGCCGTATTTGTGTGCGTGATTGCTTGTTCTTAAAAAGAGTTTCGAATGGGTTTTGCATGGTTTAGGCGCCACGTAAAATTTACCCAGTGCTCTTTTTTTTCTACCGACTTCAAAAAGGAGCCGGTACTCAATTTGACTGTATGTTTTTAAAGTTGTGGGGTAACCCACATAGGGTTACCCCATAACTTTCTACTGGTAAACTCGATTTCGATGATTCTTTTTTATTTGAAAGCTGGTGCTTCATATGTGGTCCCTTATAAATTTCTGACCTGACTGATCTGACCAAAAGTTTTTGAGTTATTCTTAATAACTTATTTTGAAGTCGGTTGTAAAAAAAAAATTAAATTATTCTCTCTCTGTTGATGTGGGTCTAATACATATAAAAGGGAAGATGGATAAAACCTAATTTTGTAAGCTGCATTTTTGAAATATTTTTCTTGCGATGTTATACCTACGGCATATTGAAATAATTTTAGCACAGCATTTTCTCTCTAGAATAAAAAATAAAACCTTTGCCAATATTTTGGTTGTTTAATCAAAGGAAATCACGAATTCTCAATTTTATTCAATTTAAAGATAATCTTCTCTCTATATTAAGATTTTCGTATCGTGTGTTCGTATATTTTAGTATCGTGGGGTAAATTACTCATATCCATTGCATATGGACAAACCCATAGGTACATTTGATGTAGAGTATATAAAATTAACTATGTCATGTTGATGGCCTAAGAAAATACATAGCCCCATTTTGTCCTGTAAGTGACGTAAGAGATATTGAGAAATGTCTGAAAAATCTCATGGCTTCTAACTGATGACGGTATACGGTCTGGTACTCGTACTACTATCATCGTACTGCCTACCAAGCGTAACGATTAAGTTCAATGACTCCTTACCATGTAAAAGGCACATATCAAGCAGTGGACTTTTATGGACTAATAGGAAAGACTACGATTTGTCCCGTGCCGAAATTGAATCCGCAAACAGCGGTATCGCAAATAGACGCTCAGCTATCATAACATCCTGCGGTTTATATTGAGTGGTAGGTATTCATACAGCTTGGCGATGTATGTATATTTACTACCCAATATCGTTCCACGTGCTTTATGAAACGACATACGGAAACAAACCAGGAGTAGGGTAACTGTGTCCTCCTAATAACGAATTAAAATACAAAAACTAAGATTTCTAACACGCTGCCAAGTGTGGCAACTTTGGCATATGAGACAATGGGAGGCCTACATTAAGCAGTGAACTTTTGATAGAATGAAATGTAATTGACTTTTCAAATAATTTCAGGTAATAGGCATGAGTATAATTGCTGCTAAAGTTACTTCACACTATAGTACGGAAATCGTTTTGTATGCTGTTATTACGACCACGGTCGTTGTACTCGTATGCTTTTTTCTAGCATTTTCCAGGGTAAGTTGGTAACATATTTACAATTTATAACATGACTGACATACGGGTTGTCACTGAAGTCGACGTCAAGTCGAAATCGGGTGATAGGTTAAGATTATAATAAGTAGATAATAGTTAACAGAAAAATATAAAAAAGTATTTTGTGCATTTATGCAACACCTATAATATAGTGTTCACGTTGCACGGCTCTACCAGGTACCTTGATACCTACTTGGTGTATAGTGAGCGATGCAAGAGGTCATCTCGATATTTTTAAGGAAAAAAGAGTTTTCCGCCCTCATCCAAAGAGTGTTGGTTAACTCCGTGTTTTCGACCTATTTCTTTTCTAATTTCTCAGAGAAGCAAGTTTCCTGACGAAGTCTTCCTTAACCTTGAAGCACGAGGTAATTCAGTGCTTGAAATTACAAATAACAATTTCAGTGGTTTTGGCGGGGATCAATTACGGTTGTTTATATTATATAAAATTTTAAGCAAGTATTCATCGTCTTATGAAACGTAACTCTTTACTGTTGGCCATACGAGGGAGCTCAAAGTTACTCAGCGTACGATAAAAAGGGCTATTGATTTATCTCCAGGATAAAATCGGTAACAAGGATAACCAGAGAAGAACAAGTGTAACTGACATAGATAAAGCTTATAAGTTGAAATATATATCATTTTACTGTTTAGATCTCTATGGTGTTATGATATGATACTGATAGTCCATCTATCAAGTGTATAGAAAATTATCTTAACGGCGACACTTACGATAAATAGAACAGGTGACCATTTAAGTGAGATATTAAATTATTATGTTGAATTTTAACGGGCTGTCTATTCATTGTAATATTTTTTTTAAATATCTACTGAAGAAATGCGCATAAAGCAACAAAGGCCCACCTGCGCAAAAATCTGAGAGTGCCTCCACTCTTTCTCCGAAATGTTTCATATTCGACGTACTGCTAAAAAGATGAAATCAGTGAACTAAGGAATCTCTACACATCCAGGCTTGAATATATAATTTATGATTTTGCATAAATTTTAGTTTGATCCCAATTCTGTAGGCTTGCGTGCCTTTATACCACGAGATTATAATAAATATTTCACATGGATGAGTGGTGAAAATTTATATAACTTGTGTTTACTACTTTCAGTTTGATTTTACTAGTTGGATGTTATACGTGGTTGTTATTGCTACAGCGTTCTCTGTTTTATCAATGATTGTTTTAATGACTATGCTTTTTACTGGAACAGTTATGAAACCAGTAATAATAATAATTTTAGTCATCGGCACTCTAATAGAAGTAATTGTAAGTGTTATTTATAATTAATTAATTTTAATAAAAATACGTAAATAAATTCTTAATGTTTATCAATGAAAATGAAGTATACGTGAGTTTTCTTTAAAAAAGTTTGCTCCCCACTGTTGAACCTAGGCCTCCCTCATAGATTGCCTCAAATTTATATATTCATATTCATAGTTGTCACACTTGGCAGGTGGGTTGGCTACCGTAGTTTTTTTTTTATTTTTATTCGTTATTAGGGGAACGCTGCTGCCCATCTATTGATTTGTTTCCCTCTTTCGCCTCTTACTACATCCACGGGATGATATAGGGTAGTGATTATTCTTACACCGCCACTATATAGCCCATGACTCTTAGGTCGGTATTTCGAGACAATTTTGAGCTTTGACTCAAAAAATGTAAACATTTATTTATTATATATAGACACAAATTTTCATATTGCGTAGTTTTAGTTTATTCTTGAGATTGTCTAATTAAATTTTGACATTGTCTTTAATACTAAACTTAGCCTTACAGTCTGTAACAAATATTTGCATTCTTGGTTTTTTTTATTTAATAGGGGGCAAACGAGCATGCGGCTCACTTGATGGTAAATGACTACCGCCGCCCATGAACAACTGCAATACCTGGGGAATTGCAGATGCGTTGCCAAGCACAAAGGTTGTACATAAAGAAATGATAAAATAGAGCCATAAAATTAAAATATGTACAAGTAGTGTTTAGATCTCGTAGAGTTAGAATGAAGAATAGGTTATTAGAGGCATACCGTGTAAAATTTTATAGAAGTGACGTATCGCTTAAGTTGAATTTTCAAGTACTGCCTCTTTGGTCTATTGTTTGTAAACGCGACTGCTGATCATGTGGTGTCATTTTCGATTTCGCTTCGGACAAAAAGCAGTTATTAGGTTATTTTGTAAATGAATTGTCAGTAACAGTCTGAAGTCAGGAAGTTGGCGGAGATTCACATCCGTGCCTCGGAAAGCACGTGAAAGCCGTTGGTCCTGCGCCTGGCGCACTGGATCTCTACGGCCGTGTAGGTTTGTTATTCCATCGGACTGTGTGACCTGTGCATCCACACGCGTGCACTATAATCTAGCTACGCGCAGATGGCTAGTCTCCGTTAGGATTGGCCGCCGTGAGTGATATTCGGCCTGGAGTACATTATTATTATGAGGATCTATATTAAATTGTTTGCTTATTAAAAAGGTTTTTCGTACGTTCCTCTAGAAGTGTCTTACCTTTAAAATAATGTTATCTGTGAAATTGTTTTTTTTCTTTTGGTTATACTAAGTAATAAAGTAGATATTTACTGAATTTCAGACGCTGACAATAGAACTGCAAACCGTAATTGGAGGCAAATCAGTACAACTATCTGAAGATGATTACGCTCTTGGAGCCTATATGATTTACACATCAATCATTACCATTTTTCTAAAATTAGTACAACTTATCGGTTTAATAGAAGATATGTGAAAATAGAATAATTATTTACATCGAAATATACGTTTGATTATATATATATATATATGGGTTCTTAATTTTCTATTTTAAAACATCGTATAAAATTTTGCTAGTCGTCGTCATCAATAAGTCCACAGCTCGATACAAGCTTAAAATTTGAGCATACTTACAACGCTGAGCTAAGTTTAGATTTTTTGGGTTATTCCGTTTATTCACCTTAGAAAATCTTATTCTTCGCCTTATTCACCTTATTCTTCTTAGGAAATCCACCCTAGGGTGGATACTCGGAAACTCATGTTCGTTTATTTACCCTAGACGGGGTGGATAGTCGAAATTCGTTTTTTGATTGTTGTTCCGCCTTTCCACCCCAAATACAGTTCAACAGAAAATATATTCATAATTTAATATATTATTGATTAAACTTTAACAACCATATAATTATTTATTTATTTATTTAACAATTTATGTACACACAAAATAATGTTACAAGGAAGAGAAAAAAAAAAGATATTTTGTACAAAGGCATTGCTTATTTCATATTGAAATTTCTTCCAGCAGGCCTGATACTGGACAAATTAAAAGAGAAGCTAATCTAAATCTTATAAAATTTTATAACATAAAAATTAAAACTCTTCGTTTTAAATAATAATAAGTAATTTATAAATTCTGCAATATCTCCAGGAAATGATCAACACTAATTTCATTATTGAGTAGACGTAGTTGTATGTCCTGTATAAATTCGTCTCTTATAATGCACAGTTGCAATCGTTTTCTATATTTCTTTGTTACAACAGATGTCTTAGTAAAACTAGGCCTATTTTTGCAAGCAATCCAAAAATTTTACTAACTTTGGATGTTTGTCTTTAATTTCATTTGATATTGTTTTGTAACGACAATCCGAATGAATTTTAAACAGCCACATAAGTTTCGTCCTTGAGCCATGTCTTTTCATAGTAATTCACAAACGCCATATTATTATCATTATTCATTGACGTAAATTATGTCACATCGAATGATATGTAATTTTTTTTATTTATTTTATTATATACCATATTAAAAACTATAATATCTTATCGTGCCAAGAACGTTGGCTGTGTTTCCCCGCTGAATGGCTATACTTAGACTTTGAGCGAGAGAAAAGAACCAGCCCTCTTATCACCAGCCGCGGAAATAGTTACTTTAGGAACTTCACCGTACGTGGACCCCACGGACCGATAGTCCCTACAGCAAATGGCACTAATATTTAGTCATCTCTCAGAGACCCACATTTGCGCCACTTGCTCAGTTTAACTGCCTCTGATGCCGCCCCGGCTCTAAACTAGGTACCCCTGAGATGAAAGGCCGCCAAAGTGTCTACGCAAATAGCATCCCACATTAGGGCTTTACCTCTCTCCCAAGGGACCAATGTCATACCGTCTGGTCTCTTGCTATCGTCTCTAAATATTCTACAAGGCTCTAATACCGAGGGAACATTTATAGAAACAAGAGCCCTTCGGATGACATCGTTCAAAGAACCGTGCCGTGAAAACCTACCAATACTTTTCTTACATGAAAGTCCGTGGGGACCAAATTTATCGACGCTGCTACCACAGAGGCACTGATGGAGTTGACAAATTGCCGCTCCTAGTCGGGTTCCTACGGCGATGCGCAAGCTTTTCCCATCAAGTAATGTGCCAAAATTACTTGATGATAAAGCGTGTAACCAGTGTCTTGTGTTTTTTAGTTAGAAGGCGTGCCTTATCGTGGTCACTCAAATTATGAAACAAAACTATCCACACTTTCTGTACCAAAGGAATATCCCACTGTTTTTCTTAGTTAACTTACATTTTAATCTACTTAGAGCTAAAAATGATAGACTAAACAGATAACTTATGGTAAACGTGAGTCACAGATAGAACATTACATGTCATCATTTATAAATTGTATAATATTTTATGTCAAATTATTGAAGTCATAAATAATGTAAACACAGAAAGCTACAAATACAATTAAAATTCAACAATCTCTTGGTCATCTAAGTATTCTTGGACTGAATAAAAGCACTTATTCAAAAGCCAGGAATGTAACTTTCTTTTAAACAATGGTAATGGCAGAGTTTTGAATCTTTGGTGAAGCTTATTTTACATTTTGATAGCCGAACAATAACAGCTTCGTCTGTATAGTTGAAGTCTTATTCTAGGTTACATGAGCCTTTCTCGATGTATGGTACCTTTATTTTTGTATTGCTCTCTAGTGACAAAATAATGAAGAGTGTTGTTGTACAAAAATACACATTTATTTTATATACAGGCACGGTAGCAGTAGGATTCCAAGTTTCTTGAAAAGAAGTTTACAGTTTTCAAGAACATGTACTTTGCAAATAGCCATAACACATTCTATTTGGGCTATGAAAGCCCGGTTTACATCTCCATAATAATCCTCACAATATAATGTTAATAACACATAGCCATTGTAGGCCGATAGAGCAGTTTCAATGGATGATACGTTACTGAGTCGTTGTAGCTCGTATACAAATTTATTTATTCTCGTAAATAGATTGTCTATTTGTGCTTTCCAGTCACAGTGTTTATCTTAAGTAAGTCCAAGAAATTTAGCTTCATTAACAATTTCAACAGTATTACCGCAATAATCGACTAGCACATCTTAAAATAGAATAGAATAGAATTGAATATTTTTTTATTCAATATAGATCACATGTGTAATTCTTATTGAAATATATTTTTGACTTTACCACTGGTTCGACAAAAACCCTCTTCTGTGAAGAACTAGCAAGAAACCCAGCGGGACTTTTTTAAAGCATATTTTACATTAATAGTTGTACAAACTATATAAGATCATCCATTGACCTTGCTTTGTAAGTAGTAAACTGGATGTCCTTCGTTTTTTCTATGTTTATTTCGAGATTGTTTGAATGTAGCCAATTGATTAGATTGTATAAAGTCTCATTAAAAATGATATTGGATTTTTCTATTTCGTCATATTTTATTACCAACGTGGTGTCCTGCCTGCGAACATGAAACATTTATATTGAGTTTCATTTGGTAAGTCGTTAATAAATATCAAAAACTACAAGGACTCCAAGATACTACCCTGTGGAACTCCCCATTAATTGACGCGATATTTATGACCGGAAAGTACACTGTGTTGATTCAACGACTGCTGTCTATTATACAGATAACTTCCAACCAGTCATTATCGTTACCTCTAATACCATATCTACATAGTTTATACAGTAATATTTTATGTGGAAAAAAGTCAAAAGCTTTAGTCATGTCATTTTGATTAATACCTTCTGTGACATAATGTACCAGCTTGCAGAAGGTGAACGTAGTAGTGACCTTTGCGAATACTGTGTTGTTCAGAAGAATAATATACTGACAGAAGTCAGTATATTATTTGAGGTAATAAAGCTATCAATGCGCTTGAAGATGACTTTTTCATAGATTTAAGATAGTATTGGAATAAGAGTTATAGGTCTATAGTTATTCATATGACTTGCTTGTAGTGGTAATGTAAGAATATTCACTACCCCACACCGTGGGTTTCGTAAGCATCATCTTTCTAATTACAACTCACTATTATTTACAAAAAACTGTGTCAAGCTTGGCAAGGTTTAATATATGGATAAATAGATCATGTTTATAAAGAATTATCTTCCAATGACTGCATTAAATTTTAAAACTATATGAATTATTTTGCAACAATAAAAAATACTTGAACGTATTGTAAACTCAAAATGATTTCACCATTAATCTAGGTTAAGGAAACTTTTCAGAAATTGTAAGTAATAATAGAAATTTTGAAATCCAATCCCGGCTAACTAATTGTTAAGTCGCTGACTTATAGAAACAAACTTTACTGAACTTCGGTTGTATTTACTTAATTTCCAATAAAATTTTTGTGATAATTTTAAGATTGAATTACTATTATGATTAAAAAACTCCAGGAATGAATTTTAATTAAAATTAGGGCCCGGACGTTCATTTAAAATTGTACAACTTCAGTTTGTGATAGAAAAACTTAAAAAATTAGTTTTAAAATAAGCTGTAATTCTTTGTTCAAAATAGAATAATTGGGCCATTTTACATATTGTTTCTTTGATCTGTTATAACAAATATAACTGTATGAGATGTAGTAAGATGTTAAATGAGCTTTTGTTTAACTAACATCTTACTACTTCACACTCCTTAAAGTTACAGCTTTTCTCACTTTTCACTGAGAGCGTTTTAGGGCGCGAAAATGTCCGCCACGCTGCATATTTCTCACATATGCATGTTCTCTCACGATATTTTCCTTCACCGCCGAGCACGTGGTAAATCAGCATTTAAAATTGCAATTAACAATTTGATAGGTGCCGGCGGTGAATTAACCCAGGTTGCTCGCATACTGTGAAAATTTACAGCGAATAATTACGAATTTAGTCTTACTTTAACTGAACTGTTTGAGTAAATAGGTAAGGGCTATTTTTAATTCAATTGTCACAAATGAGCACACAGTTAATATGACGAGCAATTCAATTAACATAGACATCTATATACTATTAAGGATAAACGGAGATGCAGTGTAACCCTAATGAGAAGATATCTCGTTACAATAAAAAAGGTTGCCTAATTGGTCTAGTAGTCGCAAACACAGGTGCTGAACATGAGCTCCTAGATTCAAATCCCAGATCAGGCTAAAAATCTGCAATCGAGTTTTTCTGTCATGAAACTTTCAGTAGCAGTCCGGAGCCATAAAGCTGTAGGTGTCGTGTCGGATTGTCGTCCCATAGAACTATGAGAGCGAGGAAAAAGAGAGTGGATCTGTGTTTGCACATACAAGTGGACACTATAATCCTGTCCTGCGCTGTGTCATTGATTTAATAAACTAGAATATTTCACAATAGAAATCTAAGAGCCAGTATCTATAAGAAAACATAGGGCTTGTCTTTTTTTTATAGAAGAGGGGGCAAACGAGCATGCGGCTCACCTGATGGTAAGTGACTACCGCCACCCATGAACAACCGCAACACC